GAGCACTGATCCAGCCATTTACAGGGACAGTTGCATAAACGAGGAAGAGAATAAGTTTCAAGATAATAATTCCCCACAAACCCGAATTCAATTGTTCAAATGAAGAAGCTGACAATGTCAAAGAGGTGGGAACTTATATTCGTATGAGAGTAGCGACCAAGTTGCGAAAACAAGGTCAAAGAACTTTTTATTTTTGAACGTGCTGGATCTCATACCATTATTCATTTACCGTATTTATTTTGATGCTTTGATCCTGATTAAGCCAATCTGATAAAGCCTAATATCTAAATATCCTAAATATATATGCCCTGTTGTAAGCATAAATCATTTGATAGGTTAATGTGAGGTCTACTACCAGCCCTTCATTACCTTAAACGAAATAGAGTGAATACATATCATATAATGAGGTGTGTTTATAGAATCATAGATTATTTATATTGAACTATATTACTCAAAAGTAGTAATATAATTTTAATATCGACTGAAAAGGGAAATTATGAAAGTGACCTGATGTAGAAATGATAATTAATGTTGTCATAAATAAATGATTAGGAAGCCTCATAAGACTACCAGATTTCCCTTAAATTTAACCAAATAAAAAGCCGTCTTACCCAACCATACTAAATTAAAAATTTATTTGCTTGGTATGCATTATGTAATGAAGGACCGATAGTTGAATATTATACACAATGATGAGTAAACCTTGTGATGTAATTAAATTTAGCTTACCTTTGCTACCAAACTATCATATGAGAGAACCCTAGCTTTTCTTGGAAATTACGCCTCTCTTACGATCTGTGGTCTAGTGGCAAGATGTATGAGATAAGCGCAAAAATAAATAAACGAAAAAAAACAGCATGGTTCAATTCTCGTCTGGGATTTTGCTAAGGCTCTAATGAGATATGAAATTATGTACACTCTGGTTGAGAAAATTTCAATAGCATAGTTGGGCCTACCAATAAAGTCAAAAAATTTTAATTTTTGACCTTACTCACCCTATGTAATCTAGGGTGAACACAGTTTGTATTCAGGATCTCCTGGTAATATTGAAACAAACTCAGTTAGGATATAACAAGATATTAAACTCTGATGATGATAGGACACGGACATCAGCAAAATATCGTGTTCACACAGAAGAATACAAAGGGAAAAAGGAGAAAGGAGTTTAAGCATACAAGCACGCAAACACATGCGAACAAAATATGCACAAATGCGATATAGAATATAAAACATAAAATAGGCTTTGATGTGATATTATATCAAAAATGTTATATAATCTAATGTAATGTGATGTGATAAGATATGATATGATGTGATGTGATATGGTATGATAGTACATGACATTATATGATATATACGATGATATAGGACATATTATATGACATGAAATGTGATATGGTATATGATACGATATTATAGTATATGGTATAAAATGATATGATGTGATGAGATATATGAGATGATAAGATAAGATATGAGATGATAAGAGATGAAATAATATTATACGACATGATAGGAAATAATATGAGATATAATATGCGATATAATATGATATAAAACATATGCTATGCTGTTAATTGATATCAGATGATATGAAATGATGTTATATCATATGATATTGTATAAAATATTATTTTATGATAAATGGTATGATATAATACATGAGATATAAAATACAATATATGATATGATATGTTATGATACGAAAAGATATATGTATATATGATATGTTAAATGCATTATGAATTATGTAATATGAATTTATGTAGTACAATGTGATATGAACTATAATTAAAGAATATTATAAAGTGCGATGAGATATGATATGAGACATGTTGTAGTATAATATGCTAGGCTATTAAATTATATATGATATGACATGACATGGTATGAAATAATATAATATGAAATATTAAATGATAAGTTATGATAAAATATTATATAATATTAAATCAATTTTGATGTATTAAAGTATATTATATCATATTAGATGACATCAAACATAACATTTAATGCTTTATAATATGATATATGTGAAGTGCCGTAATAAGATATGATTAACTATATGATTTAGTAAAAATGATATGTTATTTGATACAAAATGATATGATATAATGTGATATATTTTATGATATATGAAATTATATATAATAATATGATGTACTATATAATATATAATAATAAGTGATATAATATGAGATAATTTGATATGGTATGATATAATATGAATTTATAAATGATGTAAATGATATTATGTAATATTATTTGACATCAAATATAACATTAAATTCTTCATATGATATGATATATATGATGTGATATAATACATTATGATATGCAAAAAATAATAGGTTATTTGATATATGATAAGATCTATCGTGACTCATGAAACGATATATCATGATATGATTTTTTATATACTATATAATATGATATGAGGCAATATGATATAAGATAAGAGAAATTAGTAGGATATAATATATGAACTTGTAAGCGACATAAAATGCTAAGAATTATACGATATTATTTGACATAATTATGACACGAAATGCCTTATGATAGGATATGAAAAGATTTTAAATTGTGTGATATGTTATATGGTATGATATATGTCATTATATTTGTTATAATGCTATATATCATATGATACGACATGGTATATGATAATAATTAATGTGATATGATGTAATATGATATTATATTATACTACATCATATTATATTACCGTTTATTTGATACAATATATGCTACTGTAGTAACATCTTTCGCAAATTCATCTACAAATTTGCACTCACTTTGTACACAGAGCATTTGTGAATGTCACTCATCAGCATCTTCTGTTGTTCTCGATCAATCAAATTTCGACAATACCTCAAGTCTACCTTTTCGAACTAATCAGAATCTCGCATCCAGATTTCGCAAGCCCTTTAAGCAGGTAGAACCCCGGACTCTGTGCCCATCCATCCTACCACAGGTTTAACCAAATTAATCACTTTGAAGTTTCATACAGGCATCCTATCACCTTAATTTGTTTTTTACGTGACGTATTGACATCTTTATACTGGCTTGTAAATAACTTGGTTATATATTGACTATTTTGTGGCGTTTCTCACTTGTATGGTCCAGTTGTGCGGCCATACATCGTAGACCGTTGGCTAAGCAACTTCTTTTGGAGTGAGATTGTAACTCTGATCGACCCGACAACCTGTACACCAAATCACCAGCTCAATAGACCGTCATGCCTCTCCAGACAGCTGGACAATCCTCAAATCTCACAGACGATTATGTCCTTGCAGTAACGCGGGAATTGCCAAGGTTACCGGTTTCATTGGATTTAACTAGCACCTCTAGTCGAGTTGATACTCCAGACTAATCGAATCAAAAGTAATGAAGCCATAAAATGGTTATTTTTTTTCAAACTCCCTCAGAAGAAAGTGGCCAATTTCACCCAACCTTGTCTGCCGCTAACTAGAAGGGATTCGAGTTGCTACGATAAGCTTAAGCAAACGATCACGCTATTCAAAACTCCTTTAGGACAACAGAGAATGCATTTTTTAGTTGGGGCCGAAGTTTTAGGAGATAAAAATGCATAGTTTCGCCAGTACTCCGGTTCATACCCTTTGGTCAGTCCTATGTTGCCAGGCACTTTGATTAAAAGACTCCCAGAAATCCCCAAGGATCAAACTTTGGAAGAGGCAGTTGAGGCTGGAAATGATCTCATGCATACGTTCTATCATGCTCACATGAATACTACTGAAACCAATGAAACTAAGCTTATTGGAGCATTTCTAACCTTCGAATTCCAGAGCACAATCGCCTTTAATGAACCGTCGTTCAACTGCGAAATTTCTGATCCTGCCCGAGTAGCTGCGTTTCTCCATGCCCCTGGAGAAAGCACCAGAAGACAACATAGTAAGGAACCAAGGAGCCCGACGAGGAGTCGTCTCAACGACAACCTGTTCGGGAATAACACCAGATTGTCGCCTTCTCTTTGTGCATGGCAATAAATCAATTTTCAAATGCATTATTGAGATGAGTGATTAAGTCAGTAAGTACCTTTGAGAGGAGAAATGATAGATCTTCTCCTCTCCTTGTTCGGTATCAAAAAAGCGTGCATAGACTCGGTCTTAAAGGATTGCTTTAATAAGCCCTAAGATTGAGCTTCACAGGGGACAGCAACTTTGCATCAATCGCGCCAACAACTGACTCGTCAATGTAGTCTCCGATTGTGGGATCTATTCTAGACTATCAAGTAACTTCTAAGGACAATTCTTTCATTAATCGAATCTCTGATTCACCGAGTAACACACCACATTGACGCAAATTTTTCATTAGTTACGGCAAACGGCTTCATGCAAACTCAAACCATATTTATTGGACTACCAAGAGCCGGTATTGCTTGTTCATCCAAAAGTGCATGGGCGTCCCCATCACATTGGGTCCCTAAGAAAAATAAGAACGAGTAGACGCCCGGCAACGACTCAGTGCAACGACAGCCAGACAGACATCCTCTGCCGCATGTCAAGGTTGCTGCAGGGACATTTTCTACAAGATCCATCTAAAAACAACATACTTCCATATTCCTGTAAATACAACTCACACAAACAAAGCAGTTGTCGTCATGCATTTCGGTTTTTGCAAATTTGACAGTATCCCTTTCGAAGTCAAGAACACCGCACAGATGTTCCTCTGACCAATAGATAAGGTCACTCGGGATCTAAACCGAGTGTTCGTCCACTTTGATGACATTCAGCCCAAGCCGCATCATCATCTGGTTACTTGAATGATCTTCCTCGGACATCGCGTTGCCACTCACGACATGCCACCAAGCCGACTTTCCTATTCCATGCATCATCATGGCCTTGCGAAGTCACGTCGGCATGGTTGATTTTCAGATTCGTTTCGTTCTGAACTGCTCAGAAATGCCGAACCCGGTGGAAGAGTATCGAAAAACTCAACTAAAAGACATCTGAAGATGCAAAACACGTGTTTGAGCGTACTAAGCCAGCCTTCATCGAGGCTATTCTGTTGATGTGGCTTTACACTTTGTGCTACGTGCTATCGGAAATTCACACCAGCCTGTTTGGTAGTGGACTCTTGACGGTACTTCATTAGCGAAGTACTTCAAACATGTGCTCATCGGAAGGCAATTTCATATTTTCTCCGACCACAAGCCCCTGTGCGGAGCCCCCAAGTGTGCTTCAAGCAAGCATTGTCTAGTCTAAGTGAAGCGCAAGAACACGAACGCAGTCAAGTCGCTATTCTTCTGTAGCCCAGGTTGGCGATAACGCAAGTGGAAAGTCTGGAAGGCATCAGAATGTCTCGCGATGTGTCTACAGGAAGAGCTGATCTTGCACCAAGGGTTTCGATGAATCTCCCAAAATGATCGTGTTCGGGAGACTTTCATTTGGAATGAAAGTTCATGAATAAAAGATTCGAAGGGCGATCTATTTTGCATTTTATATTATTCTCGTGCAAGATGATTATGAAAGGGAATTGGCCAAATCAGGTCATTAAGCTTTGGTTACCCGAGCCAAAAATTTTGCTTTGATAGTCATTCTGGTGTATGACCGGTATTGTACATAAACGTTAACACACATCCACATTCAAATTAAAGTACGATGACCAATATGAAAGGTAATTAACCAAATATATATATATATATATATATATACATATATATAAACATTTTCGTCTTTTATTTATGAGCATTTATAGAACATAAGAAAGAGCCGTAAAGTCTTCATGTCCTGGTGTTGAGACCTTTACAAGAATAAGTTCCAGATGTGATGATGTCCATCATCGCATGAACAAAAGCTCAGCACATTTTCACCCGAAACTATGGAGGATGTCTCGTAGATTGCGCCAATCTGAACGTCGTATTAAAGCCGAACGGCTGCTGTACAACGAGAATCTGTCGTCGTCTTCTGGTGAGGCCGGCCTTCGAAGCTCTTCTTCATGCACTTTCACATGAAATGAAATTACCCCCACCACTGGGGAGAAAGCTGATAACAAATGGCCTCGTTTAGCCAGAAATGCAAGTGGACCAAAGTCGGCGGCG